AATAAGAGAAGTTCCACCTGAAACTGATGCTCAGTTCTGTATTACTGTAGTTTGTGTTTCTAAGTGGCTACTTGAGTTTGTAGTCGTTGCAGTAGTTTATACAAACTGAAAACTTGCAACTAATTTTTCGCTCTTATTCTGATTGTGTCACATTGAACACTCAGAATATGTGCTGAAGTAATTTATGTATTTCAGGTCCAAATTTTGGATATTCAGGAGGAGCGAATAAAGGATTCTGATGTTCTTATTATGGGCACTGATGGACTGTGGGATGTGACCAGCAATGATAAAGCTGTGGAAATTGTGCAGAGAAGTTTGGATCATTTCCCAGCTAATGATAAATCTCGTTTGAAGTATAGGTAAGTTACATTGAACTGACTACAAAATGCACTGACTAGAAGACTGTGAAAGAAACTTTACTTTTACATTATAAAGTATCCCTTTGGGAGAAAAATTATAAAGCAATTACTGATACATTTTTGATATTTTTATGTATACTACACTTAAAATGTATGTTTTGGACAGTGAAAATGGTCTTAATTACTTGATATGTTTTTAAGGTATACATCTGCTGCTCAAGATCTTGTCATGCATTCACGTGGTAAGTTGTATGAAAAGAACTGGAAAACTGCTGATAGTAAACCTGCTACCATTGATGACATTTCTGTGTTTGTTATTCCATTGGCACCATATAAGGAAGAATACATGGAGTGGAAACAAGAATATGAAGCTATTCGTGGTATTTACGAAACTTCATGTGAAAGTAGTGAAGGATTTGGAAAGCTGTCACTGAAGACATCTCCAGTGGCAACAGAAAAAGCTGTAAATAGGGGCTTAGCTACAGAGAATATTGTCAACAGAGGTTCATTACACAACAGTTCAGGTGACTCAGCCTCTGTCATTCCATCATACAACAGTGACATTGCCATAAATAACGATGAGAAAATATGTGCCCTTTCAACTGGTGAGGAGAGTAGTTTATCATTTATAGAGATTGTTACATCAGGAGATAATTCATCTTCACATTACAATCATGATGTTGAAATAAGAGTCATTCCTTCTTCATCAGAAGACTGTACCACCAGCAGAGATGAGAAGGAAGACTGTATGCCAGTCAATACCCTAGCATTAGTCACGGATGCAATACCTCAGCCAAAATATCCCTCACAGGAGCCCAATATGTTAACACAAAAGTAAAAAGGAAACTTCTATGAACTTGTTTCAAGGCTTACAGTATCTTGGTATTGTGTGTGAATATGCTTTGGATGATAATGGTAGATGGAAAGGTTACCCTCAGTTTTCACAATTTTATGTAGTGTTCTCCAAGTCATAAGTGAAATGCATTTGTTCTCTGCACATTTGGATTGAATTTCTTGCATTTATGTGAATTAAGTTTTATATCTCAGAAGTATGAAAGCATATAATGAATCTAAGTTTTGATTGTATTGTATAATAGAATGAAGCCCCATGTTTGTGCTACAGATGAAAATATTCTTTATTTCAGTCTATTTTACATTAATCTGCTATTGAACAACCATACATCTACCTTACCTTTACATTGATTCTAGAAAATTATCAGATCTGTAGTTTTTTAACTGCTTCCTTAAAACCAAATTATATGTTATGGGTTCTACTAAGTTTCAAATCTGAGTAAGTTCTGTTTATGTAATATTGGGAAACATTTCTGTAAATGATATAAAGATGTAAAAGTATGATAAATAAGATTGTAACATTTAGAAGGTTCCCGAAGATTTACCCATTTAAAATATATTAATTGATCCCATCGTCCTCCACGTCACTATCCATCGTTTCCGTGGACATGTGCACATATGCGTGCGTAATATACATTCATTCCAGAATAATGATATGCCATTTGTTGCATTTATATTGATCTGATTTTAAGAGTAATGTTGTATGTGTAATCATAGTTATATTTTGATTTTATTGATACCAGTTTGCTGTGCATGTGAGTATTGCATTCAGGTCCTGAATTATTCAATTTTTTTTATTTCAATGTCCATAATGCTTTTGCTTTAATTTATGACTGAAAAAATACTGTAGCAGTTTTCTTAAAATTTTTGATTGGTTTAGTTTTACTAGTAATACATGCTGCAGTAGTAGCTGTACCAAACTTCATAAAAAAAATTTAAAATCTTATAGATTTCTAACATTAACTATAAAGTGCATTGAACGTGTTGCTCTTTTGGCATAATAAATTGCATACTCGGTATCTGATTCATGGTCTAGACAAGAGGCAGCAACATTCTCATTACTATGGGCAATCTTTGTCAGAGGTACAAACAAATTATGTCATCGACAGTGAGTGAAACTATATTTATTTAACTTAAAAGTCTAGTTAGTATTCACTTGAAAACATGCAATAGCTGTAAGTCTATTAGTAATACCACGGTAATTTCTGTATTCTGTTAAATACCATATGGTTCGAATAACAGAACAGGGCAACTTTGTGCAATAATGTGATTATAACATAACCTTATATGTACAAAATTGTTATTTATATTATGATTTTTTTCTATTGTTTGCTGTCATGTAATGTCCAGAAGCATTACAGGTTTGATAAATACTGGGGCATGGGTTTTTAGAGAGTAATTGCTTGTCAAGTGCTTCACATGTGTATGGACCTCATGGTGATTGTAGATGAAGCAGGAGTGACTGGTTATCAACCATTGTCTGGAGAGACCAGAAGAACAACATTATGATGTACAGGAGAACATATATGTATTCAGGTAACCAGGACTATGATTTGAGAAGCTTCAGACATTAATTCAGGAAATGATTAATTGTAATAGTGTGGAATAAATCCATCTTGTATGTTTAAGCAAAGAACCCACTGTGTAATCACTGATAATGTTGCAATATATTTACACCAGTGTTCCTCAGTGGCAGAATGCTTTTGCCACACTCACAATAGCTAATTCCAAAATTGTGTGACAGGCTGCACAAAAATGTTGAGAGGGTTGCATGCGACCTGTAGGTTGCTGACCCCCTGGTCTTGACTTCACAAGCAGTGATTCAAAAGCAGCATTTCAAGTTCTCAGGGTTTAGTAATTGTCATATAAATAGGAAATTATGAACATAATATAGAATGGTTTTGTTATTTCACATACTTATGGCAAAAGACCCTAAAACTAATTATGGACTATCAATAATACTAATAACTGTAATCCTTTCACTGACAGTGAGGTTTGTTGGCTTTCATAGAAGCCCTCATTTTATTTAAAGTAGTATGCCGGACTAGAATATTTTATTACTCTGCTTGGTACAAGTCTTACTATAGCAGTTAAGTAGTAATGGCTGTGAACTGTTCTGTGCTGTGATCCAAAATTGTATTTTGAAAGCTCACTTCCAGAACTTTCGTTACTGTTCTTTACACACATTACATTATTTTGTTTTGCTGTTAGGGAAGTTAAGATATTGTAAAATATACTGTGATTTCACATTTTTTTGTCCCCCCCCCCCCCATAATGCTTTTGAGTAATGAAATTTCATAATCCATTCCACTGGGTATAATTTATAGAATTGTGTTTGACATTTTAGATATTATTATTATTATTACTGTTATTATCACCACCATCATAATCATATGTATTAATTTGACCTAATATTATACTATAAGTAAATTTCTTGTTATTTGTTTTGGTTAATTATATATAAGGGAAAATTTATCTTTGTAAATAAGTTTGGTACGTTGAATAGTTTGTCCTGCCTTGACAGACCAGTAATTTATGTTTGTGAGATTGTTAAGTATGTATGTGTGTATGCAGCCATGTGATTTATATGTGAATATGTACATAATTCACTTTCATTAATGTAAATTTTAAGAGAAGTTGAGTTAATGGCAAAATTGAAAATAATTTTCTGTTGCACTAAAAAAATGTTTTGTAAAATTTCAGGTTCTCACAGTGATGAGTATGAAGATAGTAGTCTTCTGGGATGTTGTACAATGTAGTCTGATTGATATTAACTGATATTTCAGCCTTCATCATCATCTGCTCTGAAACAATGGTTAAAATCTACCAGACTACACAGTGCAACATTCCAGAAGACAGCCAACTTTAAGAAAATGTTATATCATGTATCTGAAATACAAAGTGTTGAGAGTTCTTTTGTACTGATAAAATGCCATCCCACATTTATGGCTCTATTTTCCTTGCAATTTACATATAATGAAAAAAAAAAATAAGGAGAAACAATTTTTATTTTATGAAGCAAATTCTCTTCAGTTCTTCCACCTTTAATGGATCTGTATTATTTGAAATTCTTATGGAATATTACAAATTATGTGAAATACAAATATACTTTACTTCATATTTAATGTCTAAAGAGTTTGTTGTTTACAACACATTCCTTAAGTAGCACTGTTGTGAATAATATTATGTTCAGCTAATAGAAAACAGTATTTCCTGTTGTGAATATTTTGTATATTTTCATGCACTTGTCGCTATAAGTGCAGACTGTCATATTTAGGCAGTGCATTGTATTAGCACAATGAATTAAATACATCAGCATAATACAAGTCAAGGATATAGAATATGTCATAGTATTAATATGAACACTTGGTACAATAAATAACCAAACAATGTTATGACTGTATACTTATTACAGCTATTTGCATAAATATTTACAGTATTTAATAATTTTTGATTCAAGTAAATTCTTCTAAGGAGTAGAAGTAGTGAGGTAAAAGATAATCTTTCATTATTGGCTTAAATACTCTTATATCATGATTTAAGCCTGTAATGCTATCTGGAAGAGTAATGAATAATTTGATCCCTGCATAGTAAGCACCTTTCTGATAACTACTGAGGTTAATATTCAGCTGATGGAGATCATTCTTGTGCCTTTTCTCCTTATATAGTTGTTGTTTGCATGTACTTTTGGCTGAGACTGACGGCAATAAAGAAGGAATTGAGAAAGTTACTCTCCTTCTTAATGTTTGTGAGTAACTGGCAGCTTGTATTAGTCTTCATCAATAATAATGTACTTCTCAGTGTTTAACCAATGATGTTATTATTTGGGTTTGTATGTTCATATTACACTTGTTAGTAGTTTCCCAGGTGACCCTCAGTGGACTACTGGTTAGCGTGCTCGCCACTGGATCCAAGGTTTGCAGGTTCAAACCTGGCCAAGGTCGATGGAGTTTTAAATCAAGAGCTCTAATGTCAAATGTTACAAAATCAGTCAATAACAACTAAAGCAAGAACAGAAAACGTTAAAATGTGACACTGGATGAATACCACCACACTGCATAGGAAAGAACCAATGAGATGCTTATAATCTCAGCTACACATGAAATTCCAAGACATTTATGGAACCAAAAGTTTTAGTTCCATGTTCAGAAGATCCTGCTACTGGATGAATTTAATTCATAACTTCACACCCCATTTCTCTAAGATACATTTTAATGTTATCCTCCCATTTAGGCCTGTATCTTCCAAGTGGTTTCTTCTCTTTAGGTTTTCCAAGTAAAATGTTAAACAGTACCATCTTGCACATCTGTTATAAAGTGCAGACATGCAATTGATGTTTGGTAATGGTAAAGGAAAATTGTTCATCTTCAGAAAGAAAAATGGAGTCCCAACAAATTCTATAAATTAGAAACTTGAGATACAAGAAGTGCTTTAGAAAATATATCCATAAATGCAGTCCTTTTCAAGACTCGGAAGCAACATGTGTCCCAATGTCAGCCCCTTGAGTCTCAAGGAAAATATAATTGATAGGTGTCTGATTCAAGCTAAAATGTAGCACATGCTGTATGTACAAAGAGCCAATCCAATGAGTGAAATAAAACATCAGAATCTTACAGTTCAACATAAATTAACATTATATAAGCCATATTTCAAATATAAACCTGACAGTGTATTATGAAATAATATTATAGACCCTACTGGATTAAATATTCGAATAGTTCATCACATAATATTTTCCCTTTCAGATCTGTTCATGGTCTGAATTATTAGTACAGTTGTTGCATGATGAAAAATTGTACTAATACTATTCAGCCTGTGTAGGAAGAAAATGTTCTGAAAATTGTTGATTGTGGAAAAAAATTCCCATGCCGGGAATCGAACCCGGGCCTCCTGGGTGAAAGCCAGGTATCCTAGCCACTAGACCACATGGGATACAACAAAAAGCGTTTTAAATCTGCTATTTCTTTAACATATCAACTATATAACTCTTATTACATCCGTAGTCCTTTAATTTATTCATCTTCAGAATTTTGCAATTAATTTCCAAATACTTAAATTCGACGATTAATACATTCACTTTTAACGACATCCGCGTTGAATTTAACACTGTTTAAAGACAGTGGCACTTTTCCATTGCAAACTTTCGCAAAAGCCCGCCACTGGGCCCTCTTATGAATCACATGAAGTAGAGATACACACCCTCAAATATTATATTTGTAGATTCTTTTATTATTATCTTCCCATCTGTGGTGAGTTCTCCCAATATGTATCCTTAGGGTTTTTCGACATTTCTGTACAAATTTCTCGTGTTACGGCTTTGTCCACATGCTCCTGCATTTTTTGACTGCTGACAGTAAAATTATTTAGTGATCAATATATTTTCCCAATCTTCTAATTTCTCAGTAACTTCGGTGTAAATTTTCTCAACTTTGCTATCCCCCTTTTGATTGTTTCATTACCGAGTTATCGATCTTAATAAGAGATGGCACTGCAGTGGCTATTACGGTGAGCGACAATACTGTTCATGACATCATTCTCGAAATATTTACTTCTAGTAATTCTGTGTAAACTGTAAACGTCGATTCTCGATAAAGACAACTTCTTTTCGTAGTCAAATTCTTGGAAGTGAGCTTCAGAGCAAATGTCCGTTGCTCCACGGCGTTTCTTGGTTCATGGGCTTGCAATTACATACTTACTGCCTTTCAAATTTTTTCCTCGACCCTCATAATGCAGATTACATGGGGCTCTTCAGTGGATAATGATTTCAGACAATACCATATTCGCTTTGTCATTTCAGCATGGAAAAGAACGACACACGACATTTATCTATATTCTGTCAGTGGAAGTTTCTTTGTAATTTTGTGCGGACTCGTGTAAATAATTGCCAAAGAAAAACATCATTATTACTGTCATTTTTGGTATTGCCGTCCTCGAGAACAGATATGTCCATGTACGAGTTTTGTGAAATTGAAATCGGTTAAATGAGAGTCCATTGTTAACACGAAATTTAATGTTCTCAGTTAGCGCTACTGCTTCGAACTCGGAGGTCTTGAATTTGTTCTTGGTCTGCAGGTCCGCGATGTTGTGTGAGTATTTTCGCAGTTTTATTTAGTTTATATTTTCAAATATTGTGTTAGTGGCTTAAAAATTGGCTACTGACACATTCTTACTCATCATTCTCAATTCATAATTCAAGCTAATCCTTTCTTTTTTGTTTATTTTTAAGTATGGCATTCAGTAAGCACTCTATAACGAACTAATAAACAATCACAATACAATTCACAGTTCATTCAGATATTTCAGGAGTCACTTGTGAGAGAGATTATAAATTGTGAATTCGGAAGGACATCGGAGGGAACAATAATGATACGCTCTGGATACTGTTCTGGATTTAATTCTGAACTCAAACAAATCATATCTTTGATAAAGTCTTCTCGGGCTATGAGCCGTGTTGGTAGTCAATCGCCGACGTTTCGAGGACCGTGAAAGCTTCACATCATAAATCATAACTTGTCACTATCAAGGAGCCGAACCGGATGTTACTCATAACTTATTATGGAATGAAATATGGAGGTGCAAATTTTTTGCAGTAATAATTTTTAAATGTTTTGAATTTCCCCCCCCCCCATTTTTCTTATGCCTGGTTTGTCATTTTTAATCAAAAACTGAAAATTTCAAGTCATTACTTCAGACATCGTTGAGGTTAATATAGTCCTTGTGCCATGCTATCGCATTGACGGATGCTTCTGTTTCGTGCCTCATGCACTAATGCCATCTGGTGGATAATAAATCGTGAGCTACTTGTGAAATGAGGGTCGTTGTTTTTTGCGCGTGTACCCAAGTTTTACTGATATCTGTATTTTGTTAGGATATATTGATAACGACATATGTGTTCAGAAGATGTTTATTATATTTTACGTGTTAATTCATTCAGCAATAATTCCAGAGGGGAAGTTCTTAATCTTGGCACTGTGACGTTGACTTTTATTCCGAACTGGATTTCTTGGAATTAGTTTTCAGAGGATTGGCCGTGTTCGTGTTTGTGACAAGTATATGTGCATTTAGGAAGTGTACAGATACCCCTTGAAAGTTTAAATAAGTCGTATTAGTTGCGGTAAGTGTTAAAGATATCTCCAGTGTTAGATATATGTATCAGTGTTACATATTTTTGATCTTTAACACTTTGCTACGTAAGTTCGTGCGTGAGGTAAAGTTTAAAACACTGAACAATTCTTGCAAGTGGTGGAGCACACGTATGTATCTCAATGTTATGCTAAATGTATTAATGACGTTATAGTGTTGGGCCTATATCTCATTTAAAGAGTCTTATATGGCTATTGACCTTGAAAATATTTGACATCTTGATTTCACAAATTTATTAGAATTGTTATTTGTGTCAAATGTTTCAGCAAATTATTATTATGATGATGTCATCTGAAATCGAAGATCGTAAAATTAATAATTTTTTTAACGTGGATGTGCTAATGTTCAGTAAATGAATGTATGATTGAAAACCACATGTTTGGGGAAAAGCTGATATAGAACGTGTTTCTTGGAATGAATTGTTACTCACACGTTTGTGTAAAATATTATTACATTTGTGATATCATATCTGAATTGTGCGGATGAAACATAGGTTCAGTTTTGAATTTGACTGGCTGTCTCCCCCCACCCCCCATATTAAGAATAGGCATTTTTAAAACAAATGGAAGGAAGTCTTAATGACTAATAACAATTTTTAACATTATTCCTTTTCATTTAAATTCTTTGGTATTATATATAGTCAGAGCAATCTTTTTACTTTGAATATATTTTGGTACATACATCCCTGACCATGCTTGAAGTAAAAGGTTGTTAGTGTTTGTGTTGGATGTCCATTTTTAAATAGGTACAGATAAGAGGCAATTGCTTGGTAAAATTTTTTATATTCCATAGATGTTGGTTGTTTGGGATGTGAAGCATGTTGCTATTCAAATTAACACAAAAAGCAAGCCATAATAAAAAGACCATAAAGCATAGTACAGAAGTTTGGGATTTCATATAGTTATTGCATAGTGAGTTTTTACACTTATCAACAGAGTAGAAGGTGAGAGACTAATAGAATTCTTTTAATGCTTACTTAAACTGACATCTCTTACTAGATATTCACTTAATTTTCATTGGAAACTTGTTATATAATTTTATTATTGCATAATGGTAATGCAATAATTTTCTGTGCATTGTAAGATTAGTGATTTGTCTGTGGAGATCATGTCTCTACCTGTTGTTAAAAAATGTCATAATTATTGATTATTATATTGATCTTCAAAATAATTTATTGCAATTTTCTAAATAGATAATGACACTTAACTGCTGCTTCTTCTCCTTCACTCACGAACTAAAATACATATGAAAAACCACCATTCATGAAGTTTCATACCAAAAAAGACACAAAACCATGTAGGACAGATAAGATGCTTCATAAAAAAATAAAACTTAATTTTGTGCAAAAGTTGTTCTAATATAATACAAATATAATTTGTTTTTACAGACACACACAAAATCCAGAACAACTGCAATATACCATTGGCACGGTATCAAAACATTGCATACAAAAAAGGAGATAATGTGTATATTTTTCAGAATTTTAAAGATTTTAGGAAAAATGTGCAGTTACTTATATGTAATTTATAGACCTGATAATGGCTGAGAGCAGTCAAAACATGTAGCCTAACAAAATTGGACATTTTACTACAGTTAGAAAGATAGAGTGAAAGTGTGCAAGTGATGGTACTTTAAAACAATGAAAGTAAAAACTGAGAACATGCAAGAATGCTATAGTACAGAACCTAATATAATATAGTATGGGTGTTCAGAAATTTCCCTTGCCCACTGAAATCGGAAAGTTCGTTTCATGCTCACAGTACTTGCTGAAGAGTACAAATTATTAAACTGCTCATTATGCAGTTCCTGTTGATGAACGATGGATTAAAATAACAAGGAATGTGCACGTTCACCCGCAGTAACACCAAAAATTTGTTCAGTTTGTAATGGGTTTCAGAAAAAATTATATTGCCAAGTTTGCATAATATTTTATTTTGCAGTTTTGCTAAATACATAATAATCAGAATAGATTTATACAGAGGAGCTTACTGCCTCCATCATCAGGGCTCCGATGATGAGGACATAAGCTCTCTCGAAACAGGGCACAATTTCCCAGGAGACATTTTTACTGTGTGAATTGAATTTACATTTACAATTGAATAGATCATACATGGGCCTAAGCCAAGGATGTAGAATAAATATAGTATTTGTTTGTAACACAAATATAAATTACGTAGTTATGATAGTGACGTAGTCAAGTACAGTTTTGCAGCAAAAATAATTACACAAGGCCTCACCACTGTTGCGTACATGTATTTTTAATAGCTGAGAATTTTATTAAATTAGTGTTTTTGCTTGTTTCATCCAGCGATGGGGGTTACTGTTTGTGTAACAGTTATAGGATTTGTTATAACTTATTCTTCTATCGTGCGTATGGCAGGAAACACAACCTTATGTGCTCATTCTCGGTTCTCGCGGAAGATGGCGAGGCCAGCTAGCCGCCAGCATTTCTCCACTTTTGTACAGTGTTTTGCTGTTTTGTGTGGAATTGTATTTATAGACATCGTTGCAAAGAGGGAGAGTAGAAGCGAGTACAAGAGGTGGATGTACTGTCGTGCTGAAACTGCGGAAGGCTTTTTAATAGGTAGCGCTGAAACAGGATTTCATCTTGAGGTTTAATACAGATATATTTCATGAGTTAAACAGATAGCACGTGAAACTTTCCTCCTACTTCATCATCTGTGCTTTGCACAAGTGTTCATAGTTATGTGCCTCAGGGAATCATGAACAGTGAGAATCACGCAACTATTTTAACGTGAGGATGAATTTTTTTTTTGTATTCTTATGGGAATTTTGCTTTTGGCTGTTACATTAAGTTCATAATAAATTACCTAAACTCGTGGAGTAGAGCTCCTGAGAAGCTGGTAGTCTCTCAGCTGGTTTATACATTTTGCTTCTTTTATTAAACTGGATGTATAATTTCTGTGTTTATGAGCCCACCTCCAGTCCACACCCTCCCACTTTACTTCCTTAAGGTCTCTTAACATTATTCTAAAATTGTGATCCATACCGTTGTGTTCACCTTCTTTGTGGTTCTAGCTTTTTTGCCCAGTGAATTACGGTGTCCCATTTAATACCATTTCTACCTTGTTTTGTTAGACCTTCCTTAGGGAATAATCTAAAAAACAAATTGAAAAGCAAATACAAAATTTATGTTCGTAATTCCTGCGCTAATTATTACACGCGTAATGTTATTTACCTTGCTTTTAGGATGCCCTCAGAAATATGAAACTAGTAACGTAGGGCCTGCAAGGTGAATGAGAGGGAAATGTTTTCTTTAGGCAAAGAATTTCCTAAAACAAGGAGGAATAGGAATAGAACAAGCATTTGTAGAATCAAACCCTGACGATTTGCAGTTATGCGTATCGTGAGACGTTTTTATTTTATTTTATGAAGAGAATGTGTCCGTGTGACCTATCGCTGAGTACCGCCAGAAACATATACGAATTTGAGAGGTTATCATCGTAGAATAGTTGAATACCGACGATAGATGTCTCTGCAGATACTTATATATAATCATGCAGTCCTCGATTTTAGACAAACTGAACATTTATATATACAGTACGCGACTGTAATCTTGAGATTTGAAAGGAATGAAGGAAGTACGTAGAGTTAAAGGCAGACGCTATATTTCCTCCTTCGCCCCCACCTCCTCACCCCGCAAGTCTCAAGATTACAGTCGCGAACTATATAGCTTTGTTGAAACTGTCATGGAAACATTGGAACGTCTCGTTTTTGTCGGAAGCAGGAGGCAGGGCGTAGCGCCCAGAGAGAAGTTCATGCTTCCAGTTTGAAGTAGGGTAATTGCCACAGCAGCCCATACGGAGATAAATCTGCCCTTCAAGCTGTGTGACATAGTCGTAGTTAGTATGAGAGCTGTTCGTGGATTATGTAGAATTGACGGCGAATGCCTTATCGCAGACTAGAGAGTTTGGTGCATATTGCAACGAAATGAGAGGAAGTAAGTCGATTTTGATTGTACGGCGAAACAGCTGTGAAAGACTGGTGCAGGCAGTTTTACAAAGATTGTTGTCGATCAGCGGTTGATCCGCCACGGCGTGTTTGCCACAACGGCCAGCCGTGGAAACAGCGTCATGACGAGACCGACGTGTGCGATGAAACGGGCAGCCAAGGGACGCCAGTTCTAGTCGGACGCTCAAATGAAACAAGCTCTTCGCGATGCTTCCACCAGCAGCAGCGTCTGCTTTAGGAATTCTTTGAAATAGGCAGCCGACGCTTGGCGACTCAGTGGGACGCATGTAGGCTGTGACTTTGAGTGAGCTCAGTGTATTTTATGTAATCGACCCCAGGCGGGTTTCTTTTGAACCACCCCTATAAATAAAATGAAGCCTTAGTGAGATCTGAATGACAGAATCGCTTCGATTCTTACATAGAACCGGCCTGCAGCCGAGATATTAAAAGTTAGAGAACTGTAAAGTCATAGGAAATAAAGTTTCATCGATATCTGTAATCCCCTTCTGTAATTGTAGTTTCATTATGATTCCGAATTGCTGTCTGTACGTGTAAAACAGAACGCAGTTTCAGCAGGGACGTCCTTGGGGATACGTGGAATGTACTTGACGGTTTTTAATATGCATACTAAGCGAGCTGGAGTTTGCCTGGCAAGTTCTTTCTTTCTTTATTTCCTGTTTGGTTGATGTTGATGTTTCAGCTTTTAGGATTGTGACTCTGAAAGTGCTAAGAATCATCATCATCATCATCATCATCATCACACTAGGGCCGTTAACCTGAATCCTCCTCACGCGTCGTTTTACGCAAACCGAGTCCACGTTTAACAAGAATGTGGTTTATAATTTTCATATGCACAAGATACTTAGCATTTTGCCTCCGAGGAAGGGGCAGTACTTCCTCGTCGTTTGTTTCAATTCCCCCCTTTGTATCAAGAACTGCATCATGCAGTGTTTTGCTATGGAGTGAGCATCGTGCAAGGATTTATTCCATGCGGAAATGCCATGAGAGATTTACGAAAGGTTGTAAATTGCTAGACGTGTCAAGTCTTATAAGATGCAGCACACATCGAAGTGTAGTTATTGGAAATGGCTGGTTGGCTTCGCCAAAGAAAAATCTTTTCTTCGAAATCCCCTTAAAT